CTCTCTTATGCTCACCAAGACTGCATTTATTTAATAAAAAATACAGTAAAATATTATTACAATGTAAAATAACTGTTTTCTATTTGAATATATTTTCAAAGTGTAATTTATTCCTGTGGTGGCAAACCTGAATATACTTTTTCACGATTTTTGAGTAGAAAGTTCAAAAGAAATTTTATACTTTTCTTTTTAAAAAATCAAGAAAAAATATATTTTGTGACAGCATTAAATCGTTCTCAGATACTGTTGAGTTATGTTTAGTGATATTGTGAAACTCAATTCATGTTTCTCTCTATTGACAGTTTTTCCCTGTGCCTCTGCAAACTCTGTCAAAAAGGATTGTTCAGTCCAGACTCAACAGCACCCTGGTGGGGGTTTTTACAATCGTCCTGGTCTTTCTCTCCGCTTTCATTAACATTGTGAGTCTCACAAGTCTTAACCTCAGGATTCTGTGCCTTAATGTCTCTGATATTTAGTTATTTCATGCACTAGTGATACATTTAGTGATACATAAACTATGTAGTGATGTAGCCATGCAACTAACACTTAATCTGTCTCACAATATTTAACGATTTACAGGAGTAAAGACAGAATTGCAAAAATAGAAATCTTTAGTTTTGCAATCATGTTGCTGGTGACACAGAAATCATATGTTTTTGAGTAATTGACTTTTGACATTGAAGTGCTTCACAGATGTGTAGTGATTAATTAAATTAAATTAAATACTGTCACTTATCTTCATCTGAGAAACATTTTCATCTGTCCTTTAGTTCACCTGCAGTACGGATGACCTGAAGACATGTTTAGGGCAGGAGTTTAACATCAGCCCCAGTGATGTGAATGCTTGCCATGTCGGCAGCTCTTCCTTCAACTACACTCTCTGGTCTCAGGACAGCCTCTGCAACAGCTTGTCACCTGCCTGCAATTTCCCAGAGGTGTGGCACTGTTCTCAGACCAGTTCAGTTTTGTAGTTTTGTGAGAATTTGCTGAAAATGTACTTTGCCTCAGGCCATCCAAGGTGTAGATGAGTTTGTTACTTCATCGGCAGATTTGGAGAAATTTAGCTTTACATCACTTGCTTACCAAAGGATCCTTTGCAGTGAATGGGTGCCGTCAGAATGAGAGTCCAAATAGCTGATCAAAACGTCACAATAATACACAAGTAATCCACATGACTCCAGTAACATGTTCATAATAAATCAGTTTTTAAGATTGTTTTTACCTTTGATCCATTGTGTCCAGCTGAAATACAAGTCCCCTATCCATAACATTGCTTTCTCCAGTGAGAAAGTCATCTGAATCAGGAGAGAAATATCCACAGATCAAGCACTGTACAAGTGAAAACAGTCCAAAACAGTTCTAAACAAATGTTTTGGATTTTGATGTGAGAGGACAATAGGGGATGGAGTCTTTCACTGGAGGAAGAGTTATTATGAATTAAGTTAAAATGTCTTAATGATGGATTTGTTTATTACAAATACGCAGCTTTTCACTTCACAAGTTTTGATGAATAAACCAACTCATTATATTGGATGGCCTGAGGGTGAATACATTTTCAGCAAATATTCATTTTTGGGTGAACTATTCCTTAAAGTAGTCAGTGAGCAGCTACTAACTCGTTTGGGCCAGCTTGAACCAGCTTAATAGCACCATGTTCCAAGTCGATATTTTCCAGCAGTGATAGGCCTTTCCATTTATTTTTCATAGCTGTAATTTTAGGCACTGCTCTGAAATGCTTGTCTTTTGATAAAATCATATATGGAATAAGATAAGGGGAGAGCGAAAAACTAATGCCTGAATGTTTTTCCTCTTTCTACAGTATTTCTCGTCATGTGTGCTGCTCAGTTTACTGGCCTGCTCAGTGTTCCTACAGATCAGCAGTATTGGTAAACTCTTCCTCATGCTCTTCATTGAGATCCTGTACGTGCTTATCATGGAGGTGCCTGAGGTCAGCCTTTTTGACAACGTGGACCTGCTGGTCATGGCCAATGCCATGTGAGTATCTAGATTTTAGCCAAGTAGCACAGTGTCTTGGAATCAGCATCGTCCTCCTCCTCATCCTTCCTATCATATATTATATGGCCAATATACACTTTTTTTTAACGTTAAGGTTGTGTCTTGTAATATGTTTTTTTTTTTTACCTTTTTTATTATGGATGGTTGGAACATGTTTCTACCAAATTTAAGGTACTGCTAAATATTCCCAGCATTTTTTCTAGATCACAGTCGTGACTGAATGTAATATACACTACCATTCAAAAGTTTGGGGTCGGTAAGATTTTTTTTAGATGTTTTTGAAAGAAGTCACCAAGGCTGCATTTGTTTGATCTAAAACAGTAATATTGTAAAATATTACAGTTTAAAATAAGTATTTTCGATTTTAATATATTTTAAAATGTAATTTATTCCTTTGATGGCAAAGCTCAATTTTTAAACTTAATTACACTTAGTCTTCAGTGTCACACGATCCTTTAGAAATCATTCTAGTATGCTGATTTTGTGCTCAAGAAACATTTCTTATTTTTAATGTTGAAAGCATTTGTTCTGCTTAATACTTTTATGAAAACCCTGCCCAAAATGTAATGTATACTCGCTGAATAAAAGTTTGAATTTCTTTAACAAAAAATCTTAATGACCCCAGACTTTTGAACAGTAGTATAAGTAGGCACATTATCAGTTTTCTACATACTGTTATTCAGTCAACTTTAGCTTACCACTATATATAACCATGCTAATGAATCCTGTTGAGTGTTTACTTGCTGATTTGTCCTATCAGTTCTTCTTAAAGATAAAGTCAGCTGTGCTCTATCCCTCTGATACATTTGCTTTTTCTTTGTCTTCACAGAGAGTATATTAATGGAACAAGGTAAGATAAAATCAATGAAATCGAGACACTGATCTCAAAGAAATGCCAGTGAGCATGTTGTATTCATTGCATGACCATGAAGATTGCGGTCAGAATAAATCAAATGTGTGACCATGTAGCCTGATGTAGTGTTGTGATGTGATATTAATCATGTTAATAGATTAACATGTAGTTGATTTGATTTGAACACTTTAGATCATCATGCTGTTTGCCTTATGGTGTGAAAATTGTTGATACTCAGTGCTCTGTATGTTGCAGCTGTGCGATAGACACCCGGGTTCCTCTAAAGATCATGACTCCAGTTGTCATCACAGTTTTTGTGCTGGCTCTCTACCTTCATGCACAGCAGGTGGAGTCTACAGCCAGACTAGACTTCCTCTGGAAGTTACAGGTGTGTTTATCTGTGTATGTCTTTGGAATAATGTAGATATTTTGTGAAAAGCTGTTAAATATGTATTGCTGTCCATCAAATCAGTTTGTCAGATACATTTCCCTACTCTTGCTTTTAAAAACATTTTGTTGTAGCTTACACAACTGTTCAAAAGTTTGTGGTCCGTAAGATTTATTAATTTTTTTGGGGGGGGAAATAATACTTTTATTCAGCACTTTAGTTAGTTATTAAATGTGACAATAAAGACTTATACATGGGTACAAAGCAGCATAGCTATACCAAGCAACACTAAATCAGCATATTAGAATGATTTACGAAGGATCATGTGATAATGATTAATGGAGTAATGACTGCTATTCAGCTTTGAACTCGGATATCTATATTCAAATAGATATATTAGTAATTTTAAATTGTAATAGCATTACACAGTATTACTATTTTAACTGCTTTTTGATCAAATAAATGTAGCCCTAGTGAGCAAAAGAGACTTCATTAAAAGCATTTAAAAACAATCTCACCAACCCCAAACCTTTCAACGGTAGTATATGTGACCCTGGACCACAAAACTAGTCATAAGTAGCATGGTTATATTTGTAGCAATAGCCAAATATACATTGTATGGGTCAAAATGATCGATTTTTCTTTTATGCCAAAAATTCAAGTAAAAATCATGTTCCATGAAGATATTTTGTAAATGTCCTACTGTAAATATATTAAAACTTAATTTATGATTAGTAATATGCATTGCTAACAACTTCATTTGGACAACTTTAAAGGTGATTTTCTCAATATTTTGATTTTTTTGCACCCTCAGATTCCAGATTTTCAAATAGTTGTATCTCAGCCAAATATTGTCCTATCCTAACAAACATACATCAATGGAAAGCTTATTTATTCAGCTTTCAGATGATGGATAAATCTCAATTTAAAAAAAATTGACCCTTATGTCTGGTTTTGTGGTCCAGGGTCACATATAATGGTGAATTTATGTAATATTGCATATTGATCCAGTTTGGCTTTCAGTGTTGCAGCAGAGTCATCCTCTATTTTGTTGTATTCACAGGCCACAGAGGAGAAAGAGGAGATGGAAGAACTTCAGGCCTACAACCGTCGGCTTCTCCACAACATCTTGCCCAAAGATGTAGCCGCACACTTTCTGGCGCGCGAGCGGCGGAATGACGAGCTGTATTATCAGTCGTGTGAATGTGTGGCTGTCATGTTTGCCTCTATCAGCAATTTCTCTGAGTTCTACGTGGAACTGGAGGCCAATAATGAAGGTGTGGAGTGCTTGAGACTACTCAACGAGATCATCGCTGACTTTGATGAGGTACAGCGATTTCTGACAAACCTTAGAACTGTTGCGATGCTTTTAAGCTACTTTTAAGTGCGGTACAGTACAATTGGCTAACTTTCTAGCATTTCATTTTTTAAACCTCGTTTATAAAAGCTGCAGTTGGTGTTGAAAATACTATCAATCAAGTAAATAATATTAAAACTAAAAATAATAAAAACAATCCATTTAAAGTAGTCTATATATAAATGTCTTATTCATAAAATATGCATGTATGTGTGTTTATTAATGTGTTTTTATTTATTAGTATCTATTAATAAATAAATGGAAAACAGACCCTTTTTTAAAACTAGATTTATACTATATTTTAGTTCTTGCATTAACAATTTTTAATAGTTTGTCTCTATTTAAACCTGTGTGTGAAACAATCACCTAAACTGATTGTATTCTTACAAATGTAGAAGTTTATTACCTTCTCATTTCTAGATGAAAGTCATAACCTCATTTCACTTTTCTTGCAGATCATTAGTGAGGATCAGTTTCGTCAACTAGAAAAGATCAAAACCATTGGCAGCACCTACATGGCCGCATCTGGGCTTAATGACTCCACTTATGATAAAACAGGAAGGTCACACATTCGTGCTCTTGCCGACTACGCTATGCGCCTCATGGACCAGATGAAGTACATCAATGAACACTCTTTCAATAACTTCAAAATGAAGATCGGTAAGGATTTGGCTTAGCCACTCTTAAATTTGCACCAATCAGCTGCCTTATCTATATCATTCATTTCATTTGGTTCATTTTATGAAATAGTCCCTTTCCCCTTGCAAAAAGGTTTTCTGTTGAAATTTAACATTGTCAGACAAAGATTTATGGGTCATAGAATGGAAAAGCCTGTTGTCATGAGAGCTCATAAATTACCTTGTACTGTAGGTCTCAATATAGGTCCCGTCGTGGCTGGTGTCATAGGGGCTCGTAAACCGCAATATGACATATGGGGGAATACTGTGAATGTAGCCAGCCGTATGGACAGCACTGGGGTACCTGAGAGAATACAGGTGAGATGCATTCTACGTCTCTATGATCGTCCAGATATCCTGTATGTACTGTAGAGTCTAAAAGATTGAGTCCACATAGAAAATTAACCCTGGAAATAAATACAGTTTTAAGATGTTTAAAAAGTTTAAACAAAGAAACATAATGTGAGATAATTAACAGATGTTTAATATTGAGTGCTGCTATTTTGTGGTTTATTTAACTTTTCACTTAAATAGTTGTTAATGATAATAAGCCCTACATCTTGAAAAAAAGTGTGCTTATTTGCAATAAATGCTTAATATTACCCAGTTTGATGATATTGAGTTAAAAAATATGATCATTAAATAATAAAATAAAAATTATTAAATAAATAAAAAAAAACCTTTCCGTCACAGTTTTTTCTCAAATTAAAAATGAGGAGTTTTCAAATCATATGTTTTCTCTTTAATGCACTTCTCAGAATAACAAAAGTCAAAGATTTTGTTTTTTTAATTTTGTTAAATGTGCTATTAAATTTATAATCTGCAAAGGAGTGGACAAATGGAAATCAGCCACTTTTCACATTTATGAATGCTTTTTATAACAATTTTTTAATAATGTATTGGGAATAATTTATAAATGTGGAAATAGACTAAGAGTTGAACGAACAGTTGTAATCTGGCTCAGAGGAAGATAGAAATCATGTCTTTTGGCAGTTTTTCTGGTGATTAAAGGATAATACAAGACTTCTTTAGCTTGCAAATGGTTGTCAGAAGCAAATGAAATCAGCTCTATTTTTGAAATCAGCACCTCAAAATTGTATTTTGAATAAAGTATTGGAAAATGATGCAGAGCGGTATAATATCATTTGAAATAAATACAGAATTTTAATTAAATGTAGCTAATTTGTAAAGAGATTTTTTTTTTTGAAGTGTAAAACACAAGCATTTTCACTAGTGGTCTCAGGTTTAGATCAGTAAAACTGTCAATTCTTCCTTACAAACTCTTTGGTCCTTTATAAGTACTCGTGTGCTCTTAATTTCTCTCTTTTTTAGGTCACAACTGACCTCTACCAGGTTCTCAGCTCCTATAACTACACACTGGAGTGCAGAGGCGTTGTGAAAGTCAAGGGCAAAGGAGAAATGACAACCTACTTCCTAAATGGAGGACCCAACAGCAGTTAACACTCAACGTCTAATATTCAGAACATTTTTTAGATAATACGAGGACGAGACGCTGTGGGCCGGGCCTGCCAGGCTGTAGAAGGGCATCCTCTTGGACCAATCACAATAGGATTTGTTCGGAAACAGCCCTCAGCCAGTCTAAGAGTGGCCTCTTTGCACACTGAGACTTCCTATAGGATTAACAGAGGGCTTTGGCCCCTTTATTTAAGGCATGGAACAGCTCAGAAAGACGGTTCATCCTCAGAGACCAAAGAAACAAAGGAATCTCAAGGCATATACAAAGCAGTTCTCCCAGTCTTATATTGCCAAGAGAGGACAGATGAACTGCATTCTCTGCACCTGGCTTTGGCGCTCTCAGGTGTGGCTGGACTGCGATCATACACCACCGAGTGGTCCTGGTGGCTCCATAACAACTGCATGAACACTGAAGCCAATATACCTGTAAAACACATGTTTTATGTGTATATGATTCATCAGTGTATGTAAAGAGTTCTGTTCATATGGTCTTGTCGCGTTCAACACTGTCTAGGTGATATCACAGTATAGAGATATCACAATGAGCTAATATATGGTAGAAGGCCGTAGTGAGCACAGCAGCTCTGCAAACCCTTTATGGTTTCCTGAACTTTGCTGCAGCGACTGTGGTTGTTACTGGTAAGGGAGCAGGCATTGACAGTGTTACCTCTGAATGATCTAGAGTTGAGAATTAAGCCCCGTTCATGCCGCCGCCGACTTGAAATGACCCAAAGTCATTCATTTTCATTGTTGGGATTTGCTCAGGTCCAATCTGATGGAGCATATCAATCTGTCTTCAGTCAGAAACTTTAGTCAAGAATCATTTAGACTAAATTTTGTCCTTACAGTCAGCAATTTATGTCTTTAATCATGTGCAGGGTCAGTATTTAAAAAACGATACATATGACAATTAAATGTATGTGGACCCAAATAGGCCAGCGTTTATGCTTTCGGCACAGATAAATTGACCACCCAGATTGACAAAGAGCACGCACTGACTCTTGTTCATCTTTAATATGATGCTTAATGCACTGTTTTCAACTTAAATACAAAAATACATTTTCTTCCAGAATGTTCATTTTAGCAGTGTAAACTAGTTTGTTGTCAATAAGAAATGAGACTAAACAAGTAACCAACCAGTATGGTGGATGGCGTGACATGCAAGTCGCTAGCGGCATGAATAGGGCATGTGACTGTCTGTTCCAAACACAAATTTACATTCTCAAAACTACAGACACTTGTATACACTGAAGACACTTTTAAGGACAGAGGAAAACGGTCAAATATGGCTGTTTTGTATTTTTAACATTTTATATTTTGACTCCAAACGCCAAATTGTCAATGCTATTTTAGATTATATATTTTATACATTAATGTATTAGAATGCTGTCTATAAATACACACACACACATATATATATATATATATACATACATACACACACACATACACACACATAATAGAACACTACAATCCTGCACATTTGAACAGGAGGGAGAGGTTTTTAAGTGTAAATTATCAGTCACCCTTTTCTGTCGCTGCATCAGTTTGGATAAAATCAGTAGCTAGCCTTGTAACCAAGTAAGCATAATATGTTTGGCCTTTCTCCAAAAGGGGTTTCTGTATCCTGTCAAGTACACTACAATGTAATTATGAGTAGAAAATGGATTTGCAGGAGGCGAAATGAGTGTTTCAGAACAGCCACAGTCGTTTAAAGCTTGGCAAACACATCTGCAAATATTGATTTTAGCCTTGCGTTTATAGTGCGTGGGACAACGAGTTGGGATCCTCTAGGAATGATTCCGTTATGCCACAAATCTTCACCATTTTTGCACTGCAGCTCGACCAGCAGTTGCTTCTCTCTCTCAGTTCAGTCTGATGGTACGACCCAATGAATGTCCATTTTCTCCAATGAGGCCTTTGTATGTAAGAATTGGAGTGTGTACACAAACTGGGTACAAGCAACTTTCCCCCCGCTTTACCTATTTCAGATACAGTCAAGTAGGATTATGATATACATCAATGTGTTGGAAAATAAATCAGCATTTTCTGAAACGTGTTATGAAACAGTCAATTATATTTGGTCCTGTTCTAGCTTCTCAAAACTTGGACCCAGCTGGGCTTCCCGAGTCATTAGGTCTTTATTTTCCTCAAGAAAATGACTGCCAAAAAAATGATAAAACCTCTGGTTGAATGTTTTAGTATTTAGTGTTATCATGGCACGTGTATGGCTAGACAACGCAGCTGCCATATGAATTCCTGAAGTGAAGTGTGTATTTTCTGCGCCACCAAATGGGATTGGACACTCCCTTCACGCCATTGGTCAGACGATAATCTAGCCCCGCCCCAAATTCACGCCATTGGTTGAGCCAGTGTTGCGGCTGGTCAGGATTCTCAAACACTAAAGTTTTGACGGCGCCACTGAGACGGTTTTACTTTCATCGCGGGATTTAGTTTATAAATGGCTTACAAGTAGGTATCTGCATATTTAACTGGGAGGAGAAAGTATCTAAACATTAAAATGACACACTTCAGTTTTAATTCACTTCCTTGTGTTTGTTATCCAAACGAAAGCACTTGAGGTAAGAGATGTGAAGTAACGTTAAATACCACATTATGTCCTGCTGAATTCTGGCATTTGCTATTCCAGTGGAGCTTCATCTTGGGTTGTCTTTGCTTATCTGCCATGCCAAAACTCAATGCTGTTTTATACATCCAAATAAACTATTATAATAGTAAACTCACTCTGAAATCATGTAGTTGTGATTATTACAGCGCTGTTTAGACTAGAGAATGCACTTTTTGTTCTCTTATCCACAGTATTTGGCATTTAATTAGGTTTTGTAGATGCTTTTGGTAATATACCATAAGAAGTTCTCTCAAAAATTGCAATGCTGTCATTTAGTCGCCCTCATGTCATTCTCAGTCTGTATTATTTACTTCATTTCTCTGGAAATTCAATTGTTAGGTCCATACAATTAACACGGACGAGGACTGAGGCTGTCTAGCTCAAAAAGGACAAACAGAGCACCATGAAATAGTCAGGCTTGTGTGTAAATTTAAGGTGACAGTAAGACAGAATTGTCATTCTAACCATTTTAAGAACCTCAACTATTCTAAATGTAACCTACGGTGGCGTCGTTATTATATTATTTGCATACTGAATTGTGATTGGCCTTTTCCGTATTTATATTTCAGATGATTGTGGACATCAAGACGATTATGCCAAAGGTAAAGTGCTGCCCTTCAAATACAGGTATTCCTTCAGGAAATGCAAATCTATTTTATGGCATTTTGACTTTGCTGTGTTTTGGTTTTGACCATACAGTCTATGGTTTTGACATAAAAAATGTAATATTGTATTAAATATCCAGAAGGTGGCAGCAGTGCGCTTCCATTTTGCGCCTTCGTTAATCCTTCTGTACAAAAAACTTTTACTGCTCTCGTTGTACGGACAGGTTAATTATTGTATACCAGTTTAAACATTTGTCTCTTCAAATTTTTGTTTGATTATTCAAACTTTTAAACTGAGCTGTTATCAGAGCTGTCATAAACAAACTGTGTTCAGAAATAGAGCTAAGAACAGAAACCCCAACAGAGCGGCTGTTTGGTCACTCGGGCATGTCCAAATTCACATAATTTCACTACACTTCCCCCTCTGGCAAACCTGACCTTTTTTATCTTAAAAATGTGCCCATGAAATACCCTCGTTTGATTGCACTTGAATTTAGTCTCTGCATGCGTCCGATCCGGTCAGTTTGACTGAACAAAGCTGTTTTATAAAGCATTAAAAAAGGCCATTGTGCTGGGCGTGAGAATGGCATTTCGTTGACATTAGAAATAGTCTAATGGCCAAGTGGTTTGGGTTTGATCCAGCAGTCAAAAGGTTAGAAAAACCTGAGGCGAAGCACAATGTCATAAAAATCAAAGAAAGAAACACTCAAATAATTTCTCACCCTGATAATGCAGTTATGGAAGCCTTGAACCACAAAGGAGGAAAATTACATGGTGATTTATTTATACTTTTGTCCATTTTTCCCTAAAACTTTTTGTTGCCGTTTTTTTTCCCTCCAAGATCTTCAATTTATTAGATTTTTCTCCATTTTTTTCTTTTCAAATGTATCAACCCTAACTATACCTCAAAGAACACTTTAAAAAAAATTGAGAAAAACCTGAAAAATACAGCAAAAAAACCCAACAAAACTAATTGACACAAATGTACTTTTAATTTGTGTCCCCCCCCCCACTTTATGGTTCAAGGCTTCCATTCACTGTAGTGTGCTATGCAACTATCAAATGAGATCAGCAGTGAACATAAGCTGGAAAAAATAACATCAATTTCACAGATGTCAGAAATGTACAGCCTAAATGGGCTGTAATTTTCGCTTACACAAAAGCATTCACTGGATCACCTGGAACATTACTTTCGTTAGTCATGCTTCTATAAGCCAAATGACTTCTTCTAATAACCACAATCATCATCCTCATCATCACTGCAGCTCTAAGGATTTGAGAATAGCAACAAGTTTATAAATTGGGGGAGCCTCTTAACACATTTGACTTCAGTGACTAAGAAGCACATATTCAAACAGTAATACTGTGCATGACAGAGAAACTGTAGTGACAGCTACACTTTAAAACATTGGTGTAGAAAGAAATTTCACTTTGAAAATGCATGGAAGTTTCACAATTAATTACAAAGAAACAAGCAACACATTGAATTAAACATTAACTTTTTAAGTAGTAAGACTAAAGAAGTATTTTCTCTTTAAAAATACTCCAATAACATTTGTTTACAACTTTGTGTGTATCCCTACTTCGGTTGCTAATATTTTATAAATGTGTGAAGTGCAAAAAAAAAAAAGCACACAATCATACAAATCAAGGTTTTTAACTGATGATTTCAAGACAGGGCCTTTCGTCTGAGTACAAACAAACTGGCAAGGCAATGCACTACTGCTGGAGAGAGAGCATTGAGGTACATTGCAATACAAAGACGCAGATGCAATCTTTGATCACTGACACTTGGGGAAAAAAGAAATGCACGTACATCATCTGAGGAATTTTAAAACCCCTTGACCCTTAATCTGTCAATCATCCATTCAACCTGTCATTTGCACAATGAAAACAAAACAGATGAACAGAAACAAACCATAACTCATTTATACCACTCAACATGGTCACTGAACAGACCCGTTGACAAAAGGCAGCAAACACTGAGGGGGGGAAAACAGAGTCTGTCTATTAGTGTGATTCCATTTCTCTCTTAGCCAACCACATTCATTTGCAGGAAGCACACCTGCAGGCAGCATAGACACGATTGATAAATAACACATCTGATTATGCTTTCAGGGCAGAGACGTCTGACTAATGACCACAAACACAGTGACACTCAAATTAGGCATCTATGAAAGCATATAACAAAATAAAATCACCAAAGTCTGCTTTTATAGGCAGCTATAAAAAGTCTTGCATATGAGTTGGCTTTAACAATCAAAATAAAGAAATCGTCATACAATGCGTCAAAAAATTCTAAAATTACTTCTTAAAGGAAAAGTTCACCCAAGAATGAAAAGTTTTAATCATTTCTTTATTCAGTGGAACATGAAAGAAAATGTTTAGATGAATAAGCTGTGATTTACCACAGTAAAATGTGAATAATTACAACTGTCAAGCAAGAGTTTAATGAACTACTATACTTGTGAATAATAACTTTCTTACACGCAGTTAAAATGCAACAGTGCCTGCTCAATTTTTCCAAAAGTATTTTTCAATTAATTTCATTAATTTTTGCCATATCGTCATTTAAGAGTTATACGCTATGAACCAAACAAATCAGTTATACAGCAAATTTAATCATTAAAAACTTTAATTTGAAGCAATAAATGATTTGAAAATCAGACAAAAATACAAATGTACATGAAGCATTGCAAATTACAAAAAAAAGGTTGATTTGGTATTGAAACATTGTTTTGCTAAAAAAAAAAAATAATGCATCTGTATGTAAATATTGCATTTTTAAAAATATTTTAAGTAGATGCTTTTATCTGAATTTATTTATTTAATCCTCAACAGACCCTGTACACCACCCATGTTCACTGGAAAGCCATGTTTAAACCATTGTTCAAGAAATGATGTAAGAATGTTCATTTCTGGGTGAGCTGTCCCTTTAAGCCCTGATGTCAATTAAACAAAAATAACTACAACTTAACTGTGCACATCTGCTAATGCTTCCTTCAATATTTCATGCATTAATCTAATACTGTGCGCTTATGAAGTCTCTGTTATGAACCTTTTGCATCAACAAGAACACCAGTTTCTCATCTGTGACCTCAACTGGATGTGAAACAGCAGGAAGTGTTTCTTGAACAATATCAAAATATTTTGTAAAACCTGCTTCACAATCCATAGTTCTTTTGTCCTTAGATGGGGTGGGAACAGGTTGGGGTTGCCATGTTGGGCTACGTTACGTAGTCTTAAAAGTGTTCCAGGGGGTCAAACGTTGTAGTCAGGTGATTTGCCCTGCGGTTGTCTCAGGTGGATCTGCAGAGTGACGAATGCTCCCACCGTCACGTGAAAAAGGATCTGCCACATGTTACGGAGTTCATACAGATACATGTTACATAGGCAGATCATAGCAAAGGCCAGGAATGACTTGATGTTCCTCCAAACTGAGAAGTAGGCGAACAAGTAACACTATATATAGAAACAGAAACAAGAGGAAAACATTTTGAAGCTGGAAGAAAAATGTTCAGTACAAGCTTTGTTTTAAGAATAGATCTAAAAGAATGTAGTAAGATTTATGCCCTACTATTCAAAGGTTTGGGGTTGGTATCATTATTGTTTTTTAAGACTTATCTCTTATGCTCACAAAAGGCTGCATTTATTTGGTGAAAAATACATTATAAACAGTAATATTGTGAAATATTATTACAATTTAAAGTAAGTGTTTTTTTTATTTTAAAATGTAATATATTCCTGTGATGCAAAGCTGTTTTTTCCAGCAGCTATTACTCTAGTCTTCAGCATCACATGCTCCTTAAGAAATCATTCTAATATGCTATCTGGTTAAAGAACATTTCTTATTATCATTAATGTTGAAAACAGTGATGCATTTTTACACATGCATCCTTACTGAATAAAAAGTATTTGTTTCTTTCAAAAAAATAAAAATAAAAATCTTACTGGCCCCACACTTATGAACAGTAGTGTCTATTCTGAAAACAAGTCTTAATATATTCACATAAATTTTGGGTGAATAAGGATGTTGAAATATTTACACTGGGAAAGAAGACAAAAATACTGATCATGAAAATAATTTTTTGTGTGCAGTATGAGGGTTTTGAAGACCCACCACTAATAAAAATTATCTACATTACTAACTGCTTTTGTTTGATGCTAGTAAAAATTCATTGTTTCTCCAGATTCTGCTTTTACACGACTGTGAGAAAAAGTGTGATATATTAGCATTGGTTGGTCAGACAGAGACAGAGAGCAGAGGAAATGAAGCCTGGCAAGTCGACAGTAACTCACGGTCTGACTGTCGTCACTTACCTGATACAAACAGGCCGTGGTTCCGAGGAAAAAAGCAATTACGTAATTACAGTCTTCATCCTCGTTCTGCAGATGAAGCAGAAAAATAGGAAAGACAGGGTGCTGTGTTAAAGAGTGAACAAATTACAACAGGAAGCCATGTGCTAAAACAGAGGATTAATTACTAGAGCCAGGACTCGAGTGCTCA